TTTTAGATAGACTGGTGACAAGCTTTCAATCTTATTTTTTTAAATTTTGTGCTGAGCAGTAACTTGACACCAAAGAGGGGTAAATTTTGGGTTAATGATCTGGGCTAAAAAAATTCAAGTTGAAAAATGAAAAATGTGTCATACCCGAAAGGAATTTTGTTCCTGCTTGAAGTTCTGTGAACGCAAAACCTACATCAAAAACTTAAAGCAAATCAACAAACACACCAGGCTGCAAGAAGGCGCCTTATAACTTGGTGTTGTAAAATCACAGCATGCAACGTCTATTCTAAATTCTTCATTTAAACAAAATGTTTCTGCACAATAACTTTTGAATAAGGAAACAACACACAGCATTTCTTTATTATAATTATTCACAAAATTAAGCTCCAATTTCCTCTGAATCTTGAAAATTGTTAGTTAGAAACAAATCACTCCTAAGGCCTGGTACTTCTATCCTGTCCAAGCTCTACATCAAAACTTTTCCCTACTCTTCAGATGATGCTAGATTACATTTCTGGTAAATATGGCGCACAGCCCAACCAGACAAAAGTATCAAAATCTGAAGTGTACACTACCACATACTTCACCTACATAAATCAATTTTAGAGGATATGTACAAATTGATAATTAAAAACTAAGAGGAATTTATCACGTCTTTCCCATCAAGTACATGGCAAGAATATCTGATCCAAATTGATGAACAATTTAACAACTCACTTCACAACTTAACTTGCAAGGTAGTGGACTTCACAACTTAACTTGCAAGGTAGTGGTTATAGTTATAATACACTAAATTCACCAGCCTCTTGAGAGGAAATTCTTAAGAGATGCCCTCCTAATTCTTAACCTCTTGTCAATGTTTGTATGTTTCTTTGGAAAAATATCTCAGAGCAATGCTGATGAGAAGGAAAAAAAGAGATGGACCACAGAAAATTCCATAGACTAGAAGGTTAGTAAACCCAAAACCATTCTGTAGCCCAAGACACCAAATATAAATTAGAGAAAAGGGAGGCCTGTGGTGAAATGGGAAAGATCCAAGACATAATAGCATTGGGTAAGGATGGAACAGTTGATTCAAATCAATTGCATACAGGCTACAACAACTTAGCCACTTTTAAGAATCAATCCAACAAGTGATGATTGCCATATCATAATGTACAAATAAGATGATTCGAATGCCTTAACAAATACTTTTGTTCGATGGAGAGCTCTCTTTTACTCCTTGTCCACAAAATAAATGAATTTTAGTTGATGGACTTCAGCACGAGATGAAGATTAAAAAGTCTCTACAATGCAACTATTTTCCAGATATCGTACTAGAGAGAAAGTCATATTCTATTTTGTAATCTAGTGTAGACAGATTGAGGTCAGACAAAAATAAAGTGACAATAACGGCAGTTTCATTTCACCTATGCAGTCATGATCACTTTATAAAACCAATTATTGGTTTTGCCCAACCCAAAATTTAAGAACAGAATATTTTTAACAGGAAGAGAAAAGATGAATTTGTACAGGACACTTTCAACAAGTTTTTCAAAAATGTACAAAAAACCTTACAGATGAGCACAAGAAAATAGAGGGAACTAATCAAGCTAGGGACAAGCCAGCGGGTGAGGAAGAGAGCAACAAAGAATATAGAGGTTAGTGTTGAGTAGCCCGCTTGATAGAGCGCACAGGACGGTTAAGTCTACCTTGAGCCGATGCGGCACCATTCTTGTCTGTAACTGAAGTTGGCCCACTGTGAACAGCAGGACCTCCACCACTGGGTATCCTAAAGAGCTGGATTCTTAAATAATTGCAAATCTCCAAGCAAACAGCTGAACAATAGCGCATGAGATCAAACATCACCCACACCTGAAAAGGAAAGAAACAGATATTATTGAAGAACGGTACAATCTAGGTAAGGGAATATACACTGATGAGACTTACCAAACACATCCATAAAACTATATACTCGGGGATATAAAAATTGAAGTATTGGTTGAGAAACAGCATTAAAGGACCAATTAAGGCTGAATCGAAGTATTCCATTTCGTTTTTGGTCATATGAGCCACCTATAGGATAAAATTTAAGGACATGTAGTTTAAGCTCAAACAAATAATACAAAACTGGTAAGTATGTTTTACTTACCACAAGCCTATTGGTTACTTTTGCAGCTACCATTCCAAAAGCCAAAATGTACAAGACTGGGTTGTTTTCGTACACAGCTTGCACACTTTTGCGATAAATGATATAAGCTGGTACAACCACAAGTCCAAATGGAATTATAGGTGACAGAACGCTGGTTCCCTACAAAGTTAACTATAATTAGCATAGAGGTATAGTAAATACAGCAAAATATTAGATTGAAAAAATATTTAAATGACATGAATCTCAGTTTACAGGAGGTGAGCCCGTTTGTCCGAAGTGCGTTTGTCCGAAGTGAATTTATCTATTTTAGTAAATAAAATAAGTAAAGTAGTTAGTTACATTATGTTATTTCATTTAGTGGCAGTTGTTGAAATAAGAGCTAAAACAGGTACAGATACTATCAGGAGGGCAAACGTGTTGCCTAACTGCTGTTCCGGGCCTGGAAAAGGGTAAGTGAAATAACTTACGCTATTTCACTAACTTAAGTAAATTAACTTATATTTGAATAAGTCTTGGTTCGCGCCACGCCGTCAAGCGGCTGTGGTGCGCCAAGACTCTCGGCTCTGTTCGGCTCGGCTTGGCCGGCCTTCGGTGTGTCAATGTTCAACACCCCAGTGGAACACCATCGCCTTTTCGGCGCTATGTTCTTTTAATTTTGATTCCTATTGTTCTTCTAGAAGCGCGATATAAGCGCCAAAAAGGCGATGGTGTTGCACTAGGGTGTTGGACATTCACACACCGAAGGCCGGCCGAGCCTAGCCGAACAGAACAGATCCGAGTGTCGTGGCGTACCACAGCCGCTTGACGGCGTGGCGCGAACCAAGACTTATTCAAATATAAGTTAATTTACTTAAGTTAGTGAAATAGCGTAAGTTATTTCACTTACCCTTTTCCAGGCCCGGAACTGCAGTTAGGCAACACGTTTGCCCTCCTGATAGTATCTGTACCTGTTTTAGCTCTTATTTCAACAACTGCCACTAAATGAAATAACATAATGTAACTAACTACTTTACTTATTTTATTTACTAAAATAGATAAATTCACTTCGGACAAACGCACTTCGGACAAACGGGCTCACCTCCTGTAAACTGAGATTCATGTCATTTAAATATTTTTTCAAACTAATATTTTGCTGTATTTACTATACCTCTATGCTAATTATAGTTAACTTTGTAG